GCCCAAAGGAAAAAGTGGTTCTGGAAAAGGGGGGAAAGGGGGAGCAGCCTCAGGGAGTGATAGTGCTGACAAGAAGGCTCAGGGCCCCAAAGGTGGTGGAAATGCAGTAAAGGTCGTACACATTCTGTGTGAAAAACACAGCAAGATTATGGAAGCCATGGAAAAGTTAAAGTCTGGGATGAGATTCAGTGAAGTGGCCGCACAGTATAGTGAAGATAAAGCCAGGCAAGGGGGTGACTTGGGTTGGATGACCAGAGGCTCCATGGTAGGACCATTTCAAGAAGCAGCATTTGCCTTGCCTATGAGTGGAATGGATAAGCCTGTGTTTACAGACCCACCAATTAAGACAAAGTTTGGATATCATATTATTATGGTTGAAGGGAGAAAATAAAATTATGTGAAAGATTAAAAAAAAAGAATCCTGGAGCCCATCCCCACCACCCTACATTTCGTGACAGTGGGCTCAGCCCCTCATTAGAACATGGCGTCACAGCCTGGTTGCAGGCCTTGGGAATAGCACAGAAATGCCTGCTGAGAAACAGGATCTCAGCCGCCCCTGTACATATCAGCTGACGCCTTCATGGGCAGCAAATGTGGGCCTGCTGAGGGACGCTGGTTTCCTCCCGAGGGGACGCACACAGCACAGGATGAGGTCTTCCTGCAGCGTGCAGAGGGTCACCCTCATTAGTTGACACTTGGGTGAGGCGAAATTTACTCTGAAAGGAACAGCTGTCATTCCTAAGGTGCTCCATGGTGGTCACCAGAATAAAGGTCAAGTTTCGCGTGTTTAATGGACACTTGGGTTTATGAACAAGGAGAATATGTGGCGTATTGTATTTTGTTGCTGACTGACGTCTTTTTGTTCAATATAGTCCCTGAGGCAACAGAAACCCCAAAGAAGTCTACACAGAGGGAAATTTCTTTTAAAAAGGAAATGAAGTTGAATTGTCGGTTCCAAAAAAAAAAAAAAAAAAAAAAAGGAAATGAATAGGGGCCGGGGAGATGGCTCAGTGGAATAAGCACTTCCCTGGTAAGTTCAAGGGCCTGAGTTCAAACCCCAGTTCCGCCAAAAAGAATAAAAGGAAGTGAATGAAAACAGATTTCTGTGCATTATAAATATTTCTGGCTAGGGCCGGGGAGATTGCTCAGTGAAATAAGCACTTCCCTGGTAAGTGCAAAGGCCTGAGTTCAATCCTTGGTTCCGGAAAAAAAAAAAAAAAAATTCTAGCTAATATTTGAAGACCTTCCACTTACAAGTGTGAATGAATCTGTTCTTTTTAAGGAAGATGCGAGGCCTTGTGGCCCACTGAAAGGCCTCTGCCTCTTTCTTGTGACCAACATCCCCTCAACAAGGTCTATAAAGGGCCTCACCTTCTGCTTCAGGAAGGGTCAGACTACCAAAAGTTTTGTTTCTGGTTTTTTTTTTTGTTTTTGTTTTTCTTCATACTTGACACTGACCGCAGGACCTTGTACTTCCCAGGTAAGCGCCTGTGCTGCTGCACTATGTCCATGACTCCCAAAGGCAATCATTTTTACTGTACAACACCTACTCATGTTTATGTATGGGGAAGAGATTTATTACAAAATTGAAATGTAAGACTTAATACTGATTTGAAACATGAACACTTGGGCCAGGGACATGGCTCAGTAGAGTAAGTGCTTCCCTAGCAAGCACAAGGGCCTTAGTTCAATCACCGGTTCCAGAAAGAAAAAAAGAAGAAACTAAAGAAACATGAACATGGGGCCGGGGAGATGGCTCAGTGGAATAAGCGCTTCCCTAGCAAGTGCAAGGGCCTGAGTTCAATCCCCGGTTCCGC